GGATTTCCCTCCACTCTCGCTTCATTAGGATGCAAGTGGGGCTGAGGTCTCCGATGGATGTGAAGGCCTTTTGTTTGGGTCTGAGTTGAAGTGGGAGCCATTTGTCCCGCTGTCTCAACAGGGACACAGGAGTTTAATAGCTGGAGGTTGACCTAGTTGCTTCGTCTAGCCTGCGTTTGTCTCCGTGAGCAACTAAGAGTAAAAAGGGGGGAGAGAGAAAAAGAGAGGAATTAGGGTATGCACCATCCCTTGCTGAGTGATGGGACAGCTGAGGGCAACTGCGTGGCAGCAAAACAAACCCACATATTCTCACTGCTCCCGCTGCAGAAATAGAACAGCAGCATCCATGAAGGCGTGTGCGCCAACTGATGCTAGCAAGTGAGATGCTGATGCAATTCTTCTTACTTTACAAGCAATGGCAAATTCCATGTTACAATTACTAATCATCATGTCAGTTGAATAGAAAACATTGGTATTGGTGACATCCTTTTGCAGCTAAACACGATGCTAGAATCACCCTCTGATCAAATGAGAGTTGTTGCCCAACTCTGACCAATAGTCAGTTTTAGCGTCTTGTTTTGGGAATAAAGAGCTTTTATTGTTTTGATTCACTCTCATCGTTCTCATCAAACTTGTACTAAGTCGTAGCAAGCCCCTGAAACTCAGTCCAATTTTCATCAACTTTCACATCTATTCATTTATTGTGTTTGCCTAAAAGTACGTATGTACGTACGTTGAATACAAAATACTGGTATGAGCCTATAAGCTAGGCATTTTTCTTTTCAAATAACAAACCCCCACATATTCCCACAAAACACAATACAACACAAAGGACTGAGGCTCATTGTCCTCAATGGTATCTTTGGCTCTGGAGACAAAAAATAAAATGCAACAATATGAAAATACGTGACTTTAACATGTTTATTCCAAAAACTATCAAAAATAATTACTAACAATTAAATTGTACTGTAGCCATCAGGAAGCAATTAGCTTTTTTATCCTGGAGATAATGTGTTTCCCTTTAATAATGTGTTTTAAAACCTATTTCTCTTTTCTGCACTGCTAATAATGATAATAATGCATTTCGTTCTGGAGTTCTAAAAAGTGCATTGTAACATATTTCAGGTTACCATGTCAGACCACAATTTTCCTCAGGGTGTTTTAGGGAAATGTGCTGTCAGCTCTTAAATTCAGATGTCAAATGATGCTTCACTCAGAATTTAAAATCAGCCCCACCACTCATAGAAACGCCAACATACTATGAGACAAAAGCGAATCAAATAGGAGATATTTTGTCAGTATTCCCAGAAAGGGATTAGGACTGAGAATACAGAGAAAGCCCTACAAATGTCACATTCTGTGTCATGCCACAACATGTTGCATGAAATTATCTTGGCAGCATCATTGAGTTATGTTTTTTTTTTTTATCGCTGAAATGCAGATGTTGACAATGGCTGACGACGGATTGTTTGCTGTAAGGTTTTCCTTCCCAGAACGGCCTCTGCCCACGTGTTTGTCCACCAGAGAGTGTGCGGGGCCGGCAGTAAAGACTTCCTGCAGGCCACGGATACACCTGCTCCGTCAAACAGGTCTACACCGAGCCAAACACGTGCGTCACGGCCGTTCCCTGTAGAGAGAACTTATTGTTATAAAAGCTGCTGAACGTGTAGAACACTATCCAGTTGTCAAGAAACATTGTCACACTGTTCTGTTTTGTTTCAACAAAGCAGGCTTACCACTCTGTCTTTAAAGGGCATATCTGGACTCATGTTGTTTGTCGTTGTTTTAATTACAAAACATATGCAGTGCTTTTCTTCTTTATTTGCCTTTTGGCATCCAAGAACCTAAAAGGACAATCTATGATTTAAGGATATTCAAATTAGGTATGGATACACAGTGAATCATCATAGTATAAATGTGTCATATTACACATTTTAAAGTGCCGGAGGTGTATTATCCTTTGATGGTGTGCCGCCAGGTCAGATTTGCATAAATCCTTGCCAAAAAGTACTAATTTGCTAGAAAACTTAAATGTTGCAATGCTTTGGGAGTCTTTCTCAATCATAACCTGATATACAGACTGAGTTGCGTCTGCCTATAGGGAGAAGCACATATTTATGCTCACACATGCTAAAATAACACAGCTGTAAATGAGCGATGTTGCTTCAAAAACATATCTGTAAACTATAATTATCACTGCACAGGCTACTTTTCCTCCACTAGTTTTACTTCCTGTTTCTTCATCATTCACTCTTCCTTCCATTCAAGTTTTTCCAATGTCAACATCCATGACATGCGCTGATACCCGCAGCTGGACGAAAGCAAAACTTCCCCTGAAATCCCCAGAGTGAAGTTCCTGCAGCATTTTTGACATGTAGATAAAAAGCTGTTGGACTCAAGCCAGTCATTACATAAAAATAAGTTTTGAAATAATGTATTTTGTGGCTTCAGATGCTCAGGGTAATCATTGCAGTGATTTTGGGGCGCCATTGAAATGTAGTGATTGCTCCTCATGGCGAACAAGGAATCGTCTGTCTTCTCTGTGGCTTCAGAGGCAGGTGGAGGTAGACACTGGCTACTTTTGAAGTCTCTGCTTTCAGTCCTCGCTGTGTCTCTGAGCTCAGGGGCCCCGCTGCAGCATATCAAACGGAGCCCAAAGACAAAGCTACTTTGTGGGTTTTTTCATGGCCGCAAAGATAGATTGCTAATGAGGCTCCAGTCTGTAACGCTCAGATCTAGCTTTGGGACTCTTGTCTCGGATTTCAGCTCACATTGCAAAAAGAGAGACTTTATCAGTCTGCTCTTTTTTTTACTGCGACTCAGGTTAGGCAGAGAAAGGGATTTCTAAAGCTCTTTTTGGCTGGTTTATGGTTCCTCTGAATATATTAAAAGAGCAGGCCTGCATCAGTGTTGAATTTTATCTTATGCATTTGCTTTAGCTTTGCACAATACTGTTGAAATACTCATACAAACAAAACATAAAAGTTTCCTCTATAATCCTCATTTCAATGTTGATTATATATTTTTAAGTCATGAAGGAATATCAATTTCAGTGCTGAATATTGATAACTACACTTAATTAATAATGGTGTAGTCTGTCATTTACTGTATTAACAATGGCTTCTTGTGTTTTATTTTACAATTTGTATTGTATTTAAGGAAAAAGAATAATTAGAGTTTATTGTATACGCATAAATCACATATAATCATAAGCATATAATCATTCATATATGTCATTGTAGCTGTATATTTCTGGATGACTATAAATGCAGAAACAAACACTAAATCAGTAGAGCAACCTGTTCAAAGGGGGATTATAACAAAGCCTTTCATAAGGGAGGAAATGTGTCTGTTAATGCAGACAGATGTAACAAACGGGTTCTGCAGAGTTTCTTGCAGATGACCTTTCTTCAACTGCCAGTGCACATTACAGGAGGAGCTTAACATAATATTAAACCCAGTCTCACGGCATTCGATCTTAAAAGCAATGTATTTCTAGTGTGTTTTGTGCCTGCACCACGTCTTTTTGTCCGGTCGGGCTTTGGAAGACCAGAAGCTGTGTGGTTCATAAAAACATTTTCTTACTCAATATCTTACTCTAAGCCTAACCCCTTTTATTTTAAATTGTATAATGTCAGAGTTTTTTTACCGTCCGCGAGGAAAAGAAATGGGGCTCAGAGCCTCAGAATACTGAAATCTGTCTTTTTTGTCATCTTTTTTCCTCTTAATTTGTTATTATTTGGTGCAGGCACGAAACATATACTACCAATAGAAATACATTGCTTATAAAATCGTTGTGTCAGAATACTGAAATCTGTATTTTTTTTTATCTGTTTTTCCTTCTAATTTGTTATTATTTGGTCCAGGCACTAAACATAATACCAATAGAAATACATTGCACTAAGATCGTTCTGTATCAGAATACTGAAATCTGTATTTTTTTTTAATCTGTTTTAACTTCTAATTTGTTATTATTTACATAGAAGTGTTTTACTTTTGCTAAATCTCTCTAAAAAGGTAAAATGTCACTTGTTTTGCATCAATCTTGATACAGGGTACTTAATATTTGTAGTTTGGATTCGTAAAGCTTTTAGTCTCCGATCCCCTCATTCAAGGGTGGTTTTCACTATAAGTAATGTATTTATTTTGGACGGACACTATAATTTACAGTTTTTTATTATGTTCAATCTGAATGTTTGAATTAAAATGATCCACTAGCTCATTTACTGAGATGTTAGCAGGGGCAAGTGTGGAAAA